GATATTAGTCTTTTATCAGATGTATGATTTACAAATATTTTCTTCCATTCTGTAGGTTGCTGTTTTGCTCTGTTCATTATGTACTTTGATGCACAAAAGTTTTTATTAAAGTCAGATATAGTCCTATTTGCCTATTTTTGCTTTTGTTGTGTGTGTCTTTGGTGTCACATCCAAGAAATTACTGCCAAATTCAATGTCATGAAGATGTTCCCCTATGTTTTCTTCTAAGAGTTTTATAGTTTTGCTTCTTATGTTTAGGTCTTTAATCCATTTTGAGTCAATTTTTGTATGTGGTGCAATGTAAGGGTCCAGTGTCGTTGTTTGGCATGTGGATATCCACTTTTCTCAGTACCATTTGCTGAAGAGACTGTCCTATCCCATTGAGTGGTCTTGGCACCCTTGCGGAAGATTATTTAACTGTACAGGTGAGGGCTAATTTCTTGGCTCTCTATTCTATTCCCTTGGTCTGTATGTCTGTCTTTATGGCAGTACCACACTGTTTTGATTTCTGTAGCTTTGTAATATATTTTGAAATCAGGAGTGTAAGCCCACCAATTTTGTTCTTCTTTTAAAAATTCGTTTTGTCTATTTGGGGTCCTTGAAATTCCATGTGAATTTTAGGATTTTTTTTTTCCAGTAGGTCTGCAAAAAGTGCTGTTGAGATTTTGGTAGGAATTGCATTGAATCTACAGATCACTTTGGGTAGTGTTGACATCCTGACAATATTAAGTCTTCCAATCTTTGAGTATGGGATGTCTTTCCACTTATATGTTTCTTTAATTTTTTCATCAATAATTTATAGTTTTCAGTGTACAATTCTTTCACCTCCTTGTTTAGGCTTATTCCTAAGTATTTTATTATTTTTGATGTTATTGTAAATGGAACTGTTTCTTAATTTCCTTTTCAGATTATTCATTGTTACTGTATAGAAGTGCAACTGATTTTTGTGTGTTGATTTTGCATCCTGAAAATTTGTAGAGTTTACTAATTTATTTTTTTTGTAAATTCTTTAGGGTTTTCTGCATTAAGATGATTTCATCTGCAAACAGAGATAATTTTAAATCTTCCTTTCCAATTAGATGCTTTTAGTTTATTTTTCTTGCTTAATTGCTCTGTCTAGGATGTCCAGTAGTATGTTGAATACAAGTGATAAGAGTAGGCATCCTTATCTTGTTCCAAATCTTAAAAGGAAAAATTTCAGTCTTTCGTCATTGAGTGTGATGCTAGCTGTGACTTTTGATATAAGACCTATATTATGTTGAGGTAGTTTCCTTATATTCCTAGTTTATTGAATGTTTTTTAGTAATGAAAAGGTGTTGAATCTTGTCAAACGTTTTTTCTGCATCAATTGAGAAAATCGTGTGTTTTTTGTTCTTCATTCTGTTAATATGATGTATTTCTGCCATTCTTTGTATAGTTCCTGGATCCTGTTAAATCTTTCTTCCCAACCTTCAGCTCCCTGACAATGCTCTCATTATTCAGTAAAATTGTGGGTAAGGATTTTTATCAATGTTACAAGTTGCGATATATTAGCTTTTTTGAGCACATTTGATTCTTCCATCATCTGTCATTCTAAGCCTTGTTTAAGAGAATACAATTCTGTTCTTTTATGATCACCCAGCCCTTCTTTTACAAAACTTTTCTGAGTTCTCTTTTGACTCTTTCCTATTTTTAATCTCTTCTCAAATCCCTAAGTAACCTCCTGTGTGTTTCCCAGAAAATCCATTCTGAAACGTTTTTCTTTTTGTGAAACTGCTCAGTATGATGACTCACAGTGAGAAAACATTAAAACAATTGTAACTGGAACTCAACATTCCCAGGCATGCCAATACCACCTCTTCATCTTGGGTATTTTCTGAGTCTGTTCAACTTAGATAGATGCAGGTCTTAAAAATATCCTTGGTTACCGGTGCAAAAAAAGAAAGAAGAAAAAAAGAAAAAGAAAAAAAAAAAAAGATCAAACAATAAGGCAGAACGAAATGATAACTGGACCTAGGAGATTTTGGAAGGGCAGGAGTTTTATTTTTAAAGTCTAACCACACTTTAAAAACTTACGGCCATTTTATGAATGCTTTATTTATAGATGTAATAAGTTCCATTCAGAGAAAAATGCCTAAAGAATTAGGTCATAAATGAAGGAAAAACAACATGGAACAAAATTGAAATAACACAATGCATGAGAAATGTCTTGTCCTTTCTAATATTTGTGATCCCTAAGTTCTGCTTTCTGGAGAGGCCACAGTGGGCAGAGATGAAGGGCACAAACCACGGGGAGTGGCACAAAGTCAGCCACAAGATGCTGTCACCACAGTTATTTTCTAAATACTGTCATAATTGCACTTCACTGTTATTATATATCACCGTGGTATTAATGAAAATGACATGTCTTAAAGGGAAAATTTGCATAAAGCTTTCTATTGGAGGGTCATAAAAGCTGAAAAAAATTTAAAACTCTGGTTTGGACATTTCCTAATTAGGTAAATTGTCAATTGGATTTTATTCTACCTTATTCTACCTTTTTTATTTGAGGAGTTTTTATTTTTTTGATAAAAAATATTTTCCCCTTACTAATGTCAAAGTACACAAATAAGTGTCTGCCTAAAACTCTCATTTTATGGGTAAAATCGTTCAGACTTTGTACCAGTATTAGAAAATTCTGGTTTTAATAATTCAAGGTTATGGGGCCTTCATAGAATTTCTTATGAGAACCATTCACAGAAATCCTGTATCTTACCAAGAGATTTCTATTTCACTCATGTTTTAATTCTATTTTTAGTAAAATTGATGATTAGCAGACACCTTGATACCTTGAGGCCTTGGTCAGTATGTAATAAATGACTCATCATTACCTACAGCACTAGAAATTCCTCATCCCCTGAAAACTGCTCTAAAAAGTGAAATATATAAGACAACTCCAAATTCCTGTCTTTTCTAAGATTTCCAAGCAAATATGAACCCTCCAAACCCCCTAAGGTACAATGTTTGGCCCGTTCTAATCTCCTGTGTGAACTCAGCCTTCCTGCCCTTCAGCTTCTAGCTGTGACCTTCGGCGTCTCTGCTGAGGAGCTGCAAGCATGACATTCCTTGTCACAAGCTCACTGTGTGCCTCATTTCAGACAGCCAGGCTATAGAAGTATCAAATTCACCTTCAGACTTTTGGCTTTGCTGTTTTAAAAAACCCAAACCAGAATTCTTCTGGAACGGCTCTTTCAAAAATCTCAGCTTGGCTTGGCCTGTGGCCAAGGGCTCCCAAGGGCTGTTTGTGGCAGGATAATCTCTCATAAGGGTGTTAGGTTCTGTCTTATTTCACATCAGGTCCGAGCTCTTTTATGACGCAGCCACTGGGATCACATCTGAGCAATAGATAGGGTTTGAGATTGGTGGAAGGAAACTAAAATAGGTGTGAATCCAGAGGGAAAGAAAAAGTGCCCCTATCAAAAGAATTATAATATATAATACAATTTATATTATTATGAAATTATGTTATTATATATAATATATTATAAAAACATAATACAATTCATATTATTATACGAATTTTCAAAGTTGCATCAACAATAAATAACACAAGTATGCAGTCTCATCATTACTGAAAACCATGGGGCTGTGAGGCTCAGAGAGAGAAACGGGAGCGTCTGGGCCCATACGAACCCCAGAAGCACTTTTTGTCTTCTTGCCCAATGTTTGCTCAATCAGCATCATTCTTTGGGATGTCTGTTGACGTAGGAGTGTGAGGGCATTAGCCCCCCGCTGCCTCAGGAGTCTCGATCCACATATTTTCTGACTATCACAGCTTGGAATAGAGCATAAGCCTGAGCAATCGTGGTCAGAGGACTCAGCGCAGGAACTGTGAAGTGGGGAGCAGGCAGGGGTGCCTAGTGACGCTCCTGCCTCTCCCACAGTGGATGCGACCCTCTCTCTCCCCCTTTCTTCCTTGGCAGCGGGGCTTCCAGAATGCACAGGCTGGGCCGCCTCCCTGCCATGCAGGGGTAAGTTTGGTTGGAAGGGGGAACATCTGGGGAGGCTTCCGGTAGCAATCTCCGGAGGCTGAATGAGATAATCAGGCTTCATAAATTGGGTTGACTAGACAATGAAATATTTATTGTGATTCCTCCCACCTTTTTTTTGAAGTTCAAAAATCCTTGTCATCCCTGGGCTGAAGTCTGTGTACACATGAGAGGAATTCACAATTAGATCACAAGTAGCCTGGTACCACTTACGGATGACCTCAACCTGCGGCAGGCAGCAGGCAGTGACTGGATCTGCATGTGAGCTTCATTTAATTGTTTTTTCTAATAAAACAGAACAATTCATGAAACGAAAGAAAGCAATCCAAAAAAATCGGCCTGTGTGATGGTCTTTCATTAGTTCCTGATGTATTAAAAATAGACTTTTATGGGGGCCGGCCTGGTGGCGCACTGCGATAGTGCGCCGCTTGGGAAGCACGGCGGCGCTCCCGCCGAGGGTTCGGATCCCACATACAGACCGGTTCCCGCTCACTGGCTGAGCGAGGCGCAGGAGCAACACCGAGGGTTGCGATTCCGTTGCCGGTCCCGGTCCGGTACGGGGGCGACACTGAGGGTTGCGATCCGTTGCCGGACACGGAAAAAGACAAAAAAAATAAATAAATAAATAAAATAATAATAAAAATAGACTTTTATATGAATAATGTTTAGTCCTAATTATACTTATTTTTTTCTTTACCTTGAGTCTCTACTACAAGAAATTGGAGTGTTGGGGCATTATTCAGATAATTCAGACCAAAATGCTGGTTTCTCTTTAAATATTTAGATAATGGGACAAACACATAGCTCCAGCTGACTTGTGTGGTTAGTGACTCTCTTTGGGTTAGTTGGTGGGGTCTTGGCTGTATTCTCAAGCCAAGTCACTTGACTTATTGGTTTGTTATAAAAGAGAGCCTCAACTTTCTGTCAAAAGTGAACAAAAAATTTTCCTTAAATGCTTGCACTAGTTAGTAATTTGGCATTTAAATATTTCAGACGATGAGTCATCAGCACTGAATAACAGAGAGAGGAAGATTCTTCGTCTGGGCAATGATGACCCTGCTTTGGTCCTCGCTACCTGCCCAGCCTCTGCTCCTGCCACTCCTCAGGGGATCCCATGCTCCAGAGAAACCTTGGCACGTCGGAACCTGGCCACGTCACTCGCTTCTCCATGGCTCCACGCCTGCCGTGCGCGTCCTAACTTTGTTCTTTGAGCAAACTGCTACATACTCCCTCACAGGAACCATCTGGCTTCTTCCTCATTTCCTCCTTGTGTGTTTTTTTTTCTTACTTATTTTTGCTTTGTTTTTTTTTGTTTTTGGAGGATGGCAGGTATAAAAATCAAATTCTAGACCTTGGTGTTATCAGCACCGCACTCTAACCAACTGAGCTACCCGGCCGGCCCCTCACTCCACCCGGACACCTTTCTGATCAATCCCTCCCACTACAGCCTGCGCTGAGAAAGTCATCTCTCCTTTGGGCTCCCACTTGATTCTATTCACATCTCTAAAATATCCCTTTTCTTCTCCCAACAGCCACAACTCCTTACGGAGGGCCCCTCCGGTGGTAGGCACTGTTCAGATGGTGAGAACGCAGACACGGTCGCTGCCCTCATGGGCTCACATTTGTGGGTAAGAGAAAGAGAATAAACATGCCTGTGACACAATGCCAGGTAGTGCTACGACAAAGCATGACAGGGTTTTCTTCTTGTGTGACTTTCCCAGTAGGCCGTGAACTCTTTGAGAGCAGGGACTGGTAAATCCAGCATAGAGGGGGGTGCTAGCACGTACCAGGTGTCAGCAAACGTTGAACGAATAAAAAAATGAAAGGCCTATTTTAGTGGCTTCTTACCTATGTGCAGCACTGGAGGATGTGAAAGTAATAAAAGCTAATTTGACTTGTTTTTTTTTTTTTTTTTTTTTTTTTTTTTTTTTTTTTTTTTTTCG